ATTTGCATTCTGATTCTGACATCCAAAGGCACAACAATAAATTTTTTCTCTTATTCCATGGATTTTACCTCGTTTCCATCCACTTGCTCCCAGTTTTTTTCTGCCACCACAATGCGCGCGCAGCTGCAAGTGACGTAACTGTGACGTCTACTCCAAATTGGTCTATATATACAAAAAAAAAACACTTATTATACATGAATACCAAAAACTACACTTGGCAAATTAATAAAAATGGTAATAAACTATATAGCACTTTTATAGTTCTCCATTTTATAGATGTTGTGCTTTACAAACAGACATAAGTTAAACAGACATAATGAGTGATAATAAACCGTTTTCAGCGGTGGAGACTCTGCTCTACAAGACTCTGTTTGTTCGACCTTTGACCTTTTCACCTCTGACCGACTCTTCCCCGATCCGCAACAAACCCAACGGATCGGCTTCCGACGAACCGGACCAAACCAACCCCAAAGACGCAGAAAACACCAAAAAGACGGACTGAGTCGTGACGGAGAACAGAAGACCGGCGGTTTTATTACTTCTTGTTTGTGAAGCTTTTCTACACGTTTCCTGCTGATGAGGTTTCTTTTTATCTTGATATCTGATTATGTACATATTTGCTCGATTCACAGAGAATTCTATTCTTTTCTATCCTGTGGTGGCGAGGATAGTATATTTTAATAATATTTATAATGCATTTATGAATGCAATCACTGAAAGTTGAACGCTGAAACCTTTTTAAGATGTTTTCAATGCTGAAATGATTGAATATAATTCACTTGCTCTGACTCGTCTGTCTTCAGTTTGTTGTGTTTGTGAAAAAATCTAGCCACATATTTGTTTAGAGCTGTTTAGATCTGTGCAGATTTCTCTCCTGATTCAGACCAGAACACTTTTTCACTGGAGGAAGCGTTATTATGGATTATGGAATCTTATGTATTTTAGTTAAAAAACGTCTTATGCTGGATTTGTTTCAGCTCTTGTCTTCTCCAGATGTTAACTGATGGACTGGAGTGCTGTGGATTACTTGTGGATTATTGTGATGTTTTTATCAGCTGTTTGGACTCTCATTCTGACGGCACCCATTCACTGCAGAGCATCCATTGCTGAGACACTGATGCAATGCTACATTTCTACAAACCTGATGAAGAAACAAACTCATTTAAATCTAGAATGGCCTAAGGTTGAGCACAATTGCAACTGTTCCTTTAAGCTCCATGTACATCTGTGACAGGCTGCCAAAAAATAATTTTCACTTGAATGGTTCAAAAAATTTTTTTTTTTGATGTTTACAGTAATGCACTGGAAGTCAAATGGGCAACACATTCTGAATGTTTTAAAGGCAGAAATGTCTTGTATTTTTAAGCTGAAGTGTATCTTTCTGCAAAACTGAACAGAAATGGAAAAATAGTGAGGGTTTTTTTCAGTCTTTTAATCAGACAAACAAAGATAGCCCCGCCCTAAACGCATATCATTGGTTGAGCCGGTGTCAATCAAACACATAATTCGTCTTGATCGCGATCTCCATTTTCCCGCGCAATCGGACTACTTTTAAACTTGCCGCGTTTTTTTCCTCCTAAGATTCGATCGCATGAAAAAAAAAAAACAGGAATATTGTTGCAGAAATGACATACTTCACCTTAAATCACTAAAGCTAATTATTCAATATAAATGTGAGTTAATAGAGCTGTAAAGTGTCTTACTTATAGAACATTTCCAGATGAATGTTAATGACAGGAGCTGAAATAACGGACACGATTCACACAGACAAGGTTAGTACGTGATTCTGTCTCATTAGTCTATTAAAACTGATTAATGACAAGTTATTATAATCCACAGCATGTAAAAGATGATGTAGCTATATAGAGTTAAAGTTGAAACAACAACAAAGAAGATTCTAAAGTGTGAAACGCCACACTGTTTAATCGCTCGTTATATCGAATGGCACATTCTGCAGAAACTGAATTGGTGTTTTATTGTAGCTGTATGATTTATGTAATGGAATATGACTCTATGGAATATTCATTCCAGGCAGCAGGAAGAGATTTTCATAATCATGCTTTAGGTTTGTTAATGAGCGATCAACAGAACATAATCTCATTTACTGGTGTGAAGGGGCAATCAACATCTCAATTATTCCCGCCTAATATCACCAACGGTTTCCAAACGGCCCGAGGCGGGAAATAACTCTGCCAAGAATGTGCGCGCTCTGCTGTTGCCGTGCCAACAGCATTCTGACAGAGAGCGCGGGAAATTTCCTTCCGCTGTCCTTTGTGATGTCATCATGAACGCTAATAACAACACGCTGCTCATACTGTGTGTGCTGTGCACATTAAGAGCATTTTTACAGATTGATTGTTAACATCTTTATGACATTTTATTTGATTAGACACAAAATTAGACTGAAAAGGCGAAAATAGCTATATGTATTTCTGGGATGATACCCGTTTAATAACTACTGCACACAGTTTTAAATACTTTTTAAGGCAAGACACCAAAGGTAAATAGGTAATAAAAAAAATAAATCACCATACTTTACCAGTTATTAATCGCAATTCTGAGTTTATAAAAAAGGCAGAATTGTGAGATAAACACAATTAAGAGGGGAAAAAAATCTGAATTGTAAAATAAAAAGTAGCAATTACTGTTTCTTTTTTATTTCCTGAATTGTAAACTTGGAATTGAAGGGAAAAAGCCAGAATTCTTAGTTTATATCTCACGTTCTGATTTTTTTCCCTAAAAAAAAAAGGTAACACTTTACTTGAAGGGGTGTGCATAAGACTGACATGGCACCTTCATAATCAAGACATGACACATTTCATGAATATGAAGGCGTTTTTATGCATGTTTATGACAACTGTCATTAAGTGTCATTCGCTCAGTTATGTAATTTTTAATGCAAAGATGACATTATTTGACCTAACCCTACCCCTAACCATAGCCCATAACAGACATCTCAGACAATGTCATCTTTGCATTAAAAATTACAACTGAGCGAATGACACTTAATGACAGTTGTCATAAACATGCATAAAACCTCCTTCATATTCATGAAATGTGTCATGTCTTGATTATGAAGGTGTCATGTCAGTCTTATGCACACCCCTTCAAGTAAAGTGTAACCAAAAAAAAATCTGAATTGTAAGATACAGTCACAAATAACTTTAAAATTTTTCCCGAATACAGAAATGGCATTTCATAGTTGATTGATTAGGCCTACATTAGCAATTGCAAAAAATAAATAAATAAAATGAAAATAAAAAATTGCAAATGAGGCACTATCTTATAAAATATGCATTAATTTGCGAACATTTCCAAAACAGAAATCTGAACTTCGGATAATTCCAGGTTCATAATTCACAAAGGTTTTTCCAGAGGGGATTTTGGATTCCTCTCATCACTCCATAAATCAAAAAATACTGTCAACAGACAGAAAAAAATATATATTTGCACCATGCGTTAAGGAATAAAACGTCATATAAATCAGTGTGAATGATGTACAGTATGAACAACCCCCGCAGTAAAAGCCTTCAGAATATAGAAAGA